CCCATGGCTGCCCCCCCTTCCACTCCCATTGGCCCCCAAGGCTCCACCCCTTCCACTCCACTCCCATTCCACTCCCTACCATCCAACTTATCTCCCAACCTTTCCTCCAGCCTCCTCTTGCATCCTACCTCCTGCTCAGACCCCACCCCATCTCACCACCCCCACCCCACTTCTGCACCCTACTTCCTGCCAGAGCCTGCACCCTCACCCTGGTCTCCAGCAACCTCCTCTCACACACAAAGTCCCTCATTTTGCTCCCACCCTGGAGCCCACAACATCTACCAGCCCCAGTTTCCCAGCAGAGTTAATATGGCCCTGCCAGGCTTCAGCCCCATGCAGTGGGGCTTCAGGTCTCTGCCTTGGACCCCAGTGAGTCTAATGCTGACCTTGCTTGGCAACCCCCCTAGAAGCTTCTCATGGTCCCAGGGGACCCTGGTCCCCTGGGAGAGAACTACTGACCTAGGGGACAAGCAACCGGCATGCTTGTCTTAGGAGTAGAGGAGCAGTGCCGGTCAGGCTGTGAAACTTTAGCAGAAAGACGTTGGGTGAGCTTAATCTTCATGGGACAGGGAGCATCTTGCCAGTGAAGCCCTGCCTCTAGACGCTGTGCTGTTGCACATCACTGACTGGTTCCAATGCTTCTACCTGCTCGCGGTTGCGTGACTCTCTGCTCTGGGGTGAGCATTGCGCGAGCCGTAAGCTGTGGCGCCCTGTGCCTGTGGGAACGGCAGAGCTGGGAATGGAGAGGGTGTCCCATGAAATGGGCTGGACACGCCCTGGGTGAGGCTTGGAGGGCTTGGGGGCACGGAATGGGCCTGTGGCTTATCTGCAGATGCACAGCAGGGCCTCATAGAGCGAGGGGAGCGCTCGTGTGAGTGGGGCTGGTGGAGTCGCCGTAAGCTGTGGCGCCCTGTGCCTGTGGGAACGGCAGAGCTGGGAATGGAGAGGGTGTCCCATGAAATGGGCTGGACACGCCCTGGGTGAGGCTTGGAGGGCTTGGGGGCACGGAATGGGCCTGTGGCTTATCTGCAGATGCACAGCAGGGCCTCATAGAGCGAGGGGAGCGCTCGTGTGAGTGGGGCTGGTGGAGTCAGGGAGCGGATCCCCCTGCAGGCACAGACCAGGCTCAGGCAGGGCCATCCCCTCCATAGGACAGTTCAGGGCGGCCACCCCAAACCCCAAGCTTTGGGAGGAGGCAACGGTGGCCACCCTCAACTATCAGGGACTGGGCCTGGGGATTACCTCAGGGCCGGGCTGTGCGGGCAGCAGGAGTCCCACCCACCCACCCCGGCGGCAGGATCCGGAGCGGCCCAGAAACCTGCTCCACCTCACTCCGCTGCTCTCTCCTGGCCCGCTGCATGCGGCTTCTCAGCCGCAGCAGGAAGTGGAGTGCTCCAACCCTGGCTCCAGGGCGAGGTGCTTCCCGCCGCTGCAGAGAAGTGGCCGAGCGGGCTGGGAGGGCGGTGGGGCAGGTTGGAGCAGGCTGCTGGGCCTCTCCAGCTCCCACTGCTACAGTGAGCGAATGCAGGATGGGGATCCTGAGGGACAGGGGGGTTGCCCTGGACCTTTTGCCTGGGGCACTGGGGGCGGGGTCCCCCAGGTCCCATGTCCCCCTAGGGACGGCCGTGGGCTCAGGGATGGTGGTAGCGCGGTGCTCAGGAAACGCCATGGTGCCTATAGGGTTGCCAGGTGTCCGGTTTTGAACTGGACAGTCTAGGATTTGAGCTTTCTGTTCGGGAAACAAATTGAGAAAACATAAGTGAGAAAATAGAAATGTCCGGTATTTTCTAAATGAGATGGAACATAGATTGTGATGTGATGGAATGAGATGGAATGTAGAATGTAGATTGTGATGTAATGTCAAGTGTGTCCGATATCTTTGTTGAAACCATCTGGCAACCCTAGGTGCCTAACTGTTGACACCCACTTTGGAAAATGTTGGCCTTGGATTGCAATGTTTGTCCAAAAGACCCAAATCCAGCATGCTGCGTGATACTCAGGCGATGACTCCTATCTACGCTCTCTCTTTGTGTTTCCGTCCATGGGCACCACCAGGCTTCATGATGACAGCATAACTCCCAGAGTGGTTAAAGAACTTACTTACGGTAACACAGTGAGTCTGCGGGGAGAGCTGCAACCCGAACCCAACTCTCCCAATTCCGACCCACCGGCCTACGCTGTCCCCAGGCAGTTCTGAGATCCTAGCGGAGAAGAGGCCCTGTCTAAATGTAGGTTGCGCCTTTACTCACACAACAGTCATAGGAGCAGTGAGTGATGCTCAGACTAGACCCTCCAGCTAGGATCTTCAGACACGTCCGTTTTAGGATGTGATGGAGCAGCACGTCAGCGACTGCAGGGAAAGCTCTGCCTGCCCGGGAGGGGCTGTGCATGCGGAGGAAATGCAGTGTTAGTGGAAGCACCGGAGTATCCTGTGGGAGAGGCAGCCCCATTTCCTTCCCCTCCACGCCCTCAAGATGTGTCTGGGAACTCTGCACACAATGAGCCGGCCCAGCCTGAGGCAACGGAGGGCAGCAGTGGCACAGCTGGTCCTCAGAAAGGCTGTTGCTGCTGCCAGCGAGTTTTACAGGCTTAAAGAAAATACCACTGCACATTAGCAGCCAGAAATTCTTTGGGGGATCTCAAGTCACTTCAGGACAAAATTCACCTCGCTTCACGTTCGCCCATAAAAGCCCTTTGTTATACGCCAGCAGCTGGGTTTGCATTGCAGCTGACACTGTATTTATCACAAATATCCTCCCCCCTCCCCCGCTCCTCATATCCATCCCACCCAATCTGCATGCGGCTGGCATTCACATAACGAACCAGCGCTAGCGCAGCTGGACAAGACGAGAGGCAGAGTTGTTGAGTGTTGAGCATGAATATTCACAGCAGAGCCAGGAACAGCTCTGAGGGACTACAGGACCATCCTTCCTCTCCCCGTAAGCACCCCTTTAGGAGTGTCTATCTACGCTCGCCCTTCTACATCTGTGTGTGTGTGTGTGTGTGCGCGTGAGTGAGCGCACTTGTGTGTGTGTGTGGCTGGGTGCATTTTCTATAAAATAATCACCTCTGTGTCTGAGCAGGTGTGCTTGCATGTGCATGGCTGCGTGCTTGCGTGTGCACAAGTGCATACTGGCCTATGTATTTTGATTCTATGGTTATCCCTGCAGAAGCACGCACAGCATTTTGGTTTGGAAACACTTACTTAAGAGTCCCATCTTTCTCTTCGATTTCAGTATCCAAGCCAGGAGAGCAGCAATGCACGACTTGGGCTAGCGAATGCACCACAGGAGTGGTCTTCCATCTCAATGGGCCTCAAGATTGTTGTAACCAAGACGGCCTCCCGGGATAGAGGAGTTTTGCTCACTGCGCTTGTGTACCTCGAATTTGCGTGCTGTGCCGATTGAACCGTAGCAGCACTTTGATTGGATGCAGAGGGAGCGCGCAGCTCTCACAGCCAATGCTGCATGCAATCAACATGCACCTCACTTCACGTGAGCTTGCTTCATGTGCATGTCACTTTAACCCCATTAGGAAAAATTGGGTTGCCATGTGTCCAGTTTTCACCCGGACAGTCTGGTAATTACATCTTCTGTTCAGTAAAAAAAAAAAACAGAAAATACCGGACATGTAAAATGTCCGGCATTTTCTGTTTTTCTTGGACGGAAGGCTGGCAGCGACAATCTGGCAGGGGTGGGGAGAGCGGGGGAATTTTTTTTTTTTTGCTCAACAAATTTGGTCCTCCCCCCCCTTTTTTTTTCCTCAACCAATATTTTCCCCCGCCATGTTTGGGGTTTTTTGTGAAAGTATCTGGCAACCCTAGGAAAAAACCCTTCATGGATGGAAACCAGTGGAATCTAGCAAACCTGCAGATAAAATAAAATATCTTGTAGGCCACACATAGAACCCCGATGGGCCACATTCAGCCTGTGGACCGCAGGTTGCCCACCACTGCAGCAAAGCATGAGCAAGCTGTGTGTACGTGTATGTGCTGCACGTGGTGTGCACACATTCTCCGTAAGTGGTCTGTGTTCCCTGCAGTGTGCTCGGGGCGTACACATGTTTTCACAACCAGAAACATTTGAAAAAGGAACAACAAAGCCACAGGGAGAAGAAGAGGAACCAGAGTTGTGGAAGCCAGCCCAGAGGGCTGGCTTGGGACGGAGGAAGGAGGGAGAGTAGGTGGGAGGTGGGACAGGAATCTGAGAGGCCCTGGTTTTAATGCTGACAAATGGACTCTTTTCATTGGTGACAATGGAGCTGTCCATCTGGAGCCGGAGATAAGGGAGAGCCAGGTACTGCCGGGATCTGCAGGACAATGAAGTGGGAAAACTCCAGGGAGGGAGAAAAGGCCCTTTGTTGCCAGCAGCCACAGATATGAGCAAGAGCGCCATCCCCTTGGGCAGTTTGGGGGGGAGGGGGAGGCGCTGGGCTCCGGGGCAAGGTTCATGGTGGCTGGTGGACACATCCTCTGTGGCCAGGGGGTGCAGGTTCTGGGGTATGGAGGACACCGGGCCTGTGGACACTCCCAGTAGCACCCTGCTGGGTTTTCCTAGTTGGCTGCACAAGAGGGCATGGCTTAGTGGGCTCAAGGATCAGGAGGCTCAAGAGGGGGAGGTGCATGCAGCGAGGAGGCCCTCCCCTGTGTGTGTATAAATGCGGAGCTACAACCTCAGAGGTCCCCCTTTTGATGAAGCAAGTTCACTTTCAGCTCTAAGCCTCTCCGATGGTAACAGCCCAGGAACGAAGCAGCAGGGAGCTTGATACCTCCGAGGGGCTTATCCTGCCGCCCTTCCCCTCCGTCTCTGGCCACCTCCCATCTAAACTAGCTCAGCACCAGCCAAGTTTCTACTGGGCTTCTCTGGCTCTTTTCCTTTGGGCCCTGAAGGCAGGGGTGCTATCCCCAGGCAAGAGCAGGCTTCTGAGTCTGCACCAAGGTTGCATTGCACACCCCGTAAAGCAGAGCTCTCGTGAGTTCTCTGAACCCTGCTGGGCCTGTAGCCCAGGAGATGTCACGGGCTGAGCAGGCTGGGGAGGTATCAGTGACTCGATCATGGAGTCCCCCATCATTTCTGCCACTGGTGGAGGAAGCACGGTGCAGCCACTAGATTCAGCTTTGGAGCAAAGGCCTTTTCCCCACCCCAGGCCTGCCAGGGCACAAGCCAGCCAGCTGGCTTAACGGGACTCTGGTAATGGATGGAGAAGCTGCTGATCATACTGAAATCCACTCCCTCATTATTACCCCCTCCTTTTGGCTGGGGCTCAGCCACCTGCTCTGTGTATCCCACTCAGCCAGACCTTATCCCATGTGAGGTCACAGAGATGCTCAGCCAGGCTCACTCGTGATGAGATGCCCCTGTATCCATCTGGTACATCAGTGGGCACTTTGCCTGGGAAAGAACCCAGGAGCACCTGCTTGTGCTCCCCAGGCCAGCTCATGGGTCAGACAGCAGCAATGAGACAGAGCAGGGTGTTAGAGCTGCGTGATGGTTGTGGAGGGGAAAGGCCTGCCCAGTAGCGATGGAAGGACACCTGTCACCCTCAGGCTGCCTCTTGGCAGGTGCAGCTGCTGCAGGCTCTTATGCCCACCTGTGCTGCTGTCTCCTGCTCTGAGCACTGCTGCCTCTAGAAGGCCCCATGGTAGCAGGAGCAGCTGCTCGGTTTATGGAGCTTGCAATGCTGCTGCCATGGCGCTGGAGCACAGCTGAATGGGGCATTGTTTGGGGAAGACACTCCAACGTGTGTTCTCTCTCAGCAGCAAGGGAAACAAACCTCGCTCCTCTGCCCATCCCCTGCTAAAATCAGGCTCCTTTCGTCACTGCCTCACCAGAGCAAATGAGGGCTGGATTACAGGCAAAGCAAAGTCTAGTTACCCACCCATCTTCAGAATACACCGATGATCTTTCTAGCAAGCACCCCACATTAGACCAGGGGACTTCAAAAGCAGAAGCAAAACCCACAGTGCTCCTGAGGTTGGCTCTCCAGTTCTCTACCACAGAGGAATGTTTCTTCCCCACCCCACCTAGTGATTGCTGGATGCCCTGCAGCAGGAGGAGGAATAGCTTTTGTAATTGCATCCTCACTAATTATTTTCCTCTTATAAACATCTATCCACTATCTACCCTTTGGGTACATCTAGTGTGCGGCTATTTTGGGCTAATGGAAGTATCCCGAAATAGCTACCCCGCGTCTTACAAGCCGCCCATTATTTCAAAATATTTTTTTTAAATAATGGGGGTGCTATTTTGGAATAGTGCGTTATTTCAAAATTTGTCACTGTGTAGATGTGCCCCATTTCAAAATAAACTATTTCAAAATAGAATCGAAATAAACTATGCAATTTGCATAGTGCAAATTGTGAATCTTATTTAGAGTTGAGGGTGCTGTGTAGACGCACCCTTAACGAGGCACTTGTTTTCATTACCTCCCACAGCAGTGAGTTCCACAAGTTAATTATACATGGTGTTAAAATGTGGCTCTAGGTGGCCTTCTCATTGTTTCCCCTGCCCTACTAGAACATACGAACAGCTATACGGGGTCAGACCAAAGGTCCATCTGGCCCAATATCCTGTCATTTGACTGTGGCCACAGTGCCAGCTGCCCCAGAGGGAATGAACAGAACAGGGAATCATCATGTCATCCATCCTCTGTCGCTCATTCCCAGCTTCGGGCAAAAAGAGGCCAGGAACACCATCCCTGCCCATCCTGGCTATTAGTAATAATCTCCTCTCACTTGTCTGTCCCTATCCCATGCCTTTAATTTCTCTATGTAAAGCAGAAGCTAAGTCCCCCCTCTGCATCCCTCGTGTCCATTTCTGTCTCTTCCGGCTCTCATGCAATCCCCCTGAAAATGAAGAGGATTGCATGGGAGTTCCTGAGAGTGGAATTCAGCCCATGGGTCTGTTCTAGCCTGTGGGGCTTCCTCACAATTCCCCTCTGCTCTTGCCTGAGCAAAGTAATTCCTTGCCATCCGCAAACATTGCTCCCTCCATCTTCATCCTCCCTTTCCTGCCTTTAGCAGTTTTGGGACCTAATTATGTCCTTGGTCTTCCCAGGAGCCGGAGTGGAGCTGCATTGCCAAGCAGAGGCACTGAGGCATTTTCCTGGGCACAGCAGGACTCAGAGCCCAGTGGGGAATATACAGTCTAGCCCCCTTCCACTGGCTGGCAGATGCTGCCCTGTGCTGGCTGGGCTGCACAGGGAGGTGTTAGCCAGGCCTGTTTGGCCCACAGAGTGCTGTCCGGTTCCCTAGCCTATGCCTTGGGGCTGCAGTGAGAATTTGGATTGTTTATAGTCTACAAGATTTCACCCACTGGAAACAGACATTTCCTAGAGCAGAGCTAGCTCAATGCCAGAATCTTCATCTGGTGCCAACCCCCGCTAATTTCCAGTGTATTGAATTCTGATGGGGTCTTAATTTGCCAACATGCAACCTCACCCGTGAGTATTGAGCTAAGCACTAACACATTCATTGCACCTCCTAGTGAGAGGGGGTGGATCCACTACAGAGCCCACGCTTCCCAAATGTACCACATCTTCACCGGCTGATGGGCAGGTTCCTTTAGGTTGCTGTCCACGGCCAAACTTTGCTTCCATGCCTGGAAAAAATTCACAAGCCCTGGGATTTTCCATGTCAAGCCACAGCACTGCGCCGGTTGTACCATGAGGGGTTGGATGAGACCTGAGCGGAAGCCTGCAGTGAAAGCAGGCCCTGTAGCTCGGGTTTGACAGTGACTGGGGGACCTTGAAGAATGTTTCTCTCTGAACTTATTGCAAGAGAGTCATCCACATCATGTGGCTGTGCCCTTGTGATGGGAGAGACAACCCAGCTGCCCTGATGTGACAGGTCTAGTCAGACTGTCACATGAGCCACTGCAAACAGAAACTGATTGGGCTTTTACCAGCACTGCGTAAATATCCCTCCTTACATGGTTGTACTGGGAAGGTGAGCTCAATGAGCCAGGTGCCTTAAGGGTCTTTGGGTCACATTCTCATCTCCTTCATGCCAGTGTAAAGCTGGAGTTAATCCTCCCAAGTGAGTGGAGTGACTCCAGATTTACCCAGCTGTTACTGAAAGTCTGGCCCTTTGTTCCTATTGTGACAGCTATGGCTTTGTTGTGGGAGTGCTAGTGGGAGAGACAGGGTTGATGGAAGCCCTGGGAAGTGCTATGAGCATCAAAGGCCTGGTTGGAACAATGTGTACATTTGAAGGTAAGTGGGTCTCCCAGGAAATCTCTAGCAGGAGGGAGGATGTCTGCAGATGTATCCCTTCCAGGTATGCAAGAACTCAGCGTTCTGAAGCTTCATCCTGAGAAGGTGCCTTTGTCTATGAAGTGCCTGTTCCCAGGATCAAAGGCCCAAATGGCATAAAGGAGAATCTTGCAGCTTCATGGGAGGGAGGGGGCGGGGAGTTCTTATTCTCAGCCAAAGGTGTTAGGAACTTGTAACCCCTGGAAAGCGCCTGTGTGGGGGTGAAGGACTGACCACCTACCAGAGCCCTCATGGATTTGGGGTGGTCTCTGGTAAGCATATTACAAGGATGGGGAAACTTTTCTGAGTTGGGGGCCGCACTCAAGTGAGAAACAAAAACAAAAAACCCTGCACTGGCATGGC